ATTGAGCCAACTCTGAGCCTATTTTGAAACTATTTTGGTCCTGTTTTAGAGGTATTTTTAATCTATGTTAATCCTACTATGAGCCAACGATGATAGTAAGTGTTGGGCCTAGTTTGAGCCTAGTTTGAAACTATATTGAAAGTACAGTGGGACTACATTTATACCTTTTTTGGCTCTACTTTAAGACTAATTTAAAACTATTTTAGTCCTACTTTCGACCTACATTGATACTATATTGGCATTGCATTGGTCTTAGTTCGAAACTATATTACGCCTACTTTTTAGCTACTTTAGTTCTACTTTGAGCCAAATTTGAAACTATTTTGTTCCTAATTTCGACCTACTTTGAATATATATTGTCTCTACTTTGGTCTATTTTAAGCCTAGTTTGAACCTAGTTTGAAACCATATTGGACGTATTTTTACCAATTTTGTCCCTACTTTGAAACTATTTTAGACCTACTTTCTATCTATATTGGCGCTATTTTGGGTCTACTTTGGACCTAGTTTAAAACTATATTGGACCTACTTTTTTTCCAACTTTAGCCCTACTTTAAGTCTAATTTGAACTTATTTTAGTTCTATTTTTAGACCTACTTTACATCCATATTGACTCTACTTTTGGGCCTAGTTAGAAACTATATATTAAACCTACTTCTAACTTAAAATTTGTCCTACTTTCAGCCGTCTTTGAGCCTATATTGGACCACTTTAGACATTTTCAACCAGAAAATACGATTACCAACAACAAAAGAGGTACAAGATCAAAAACAAAATAACATTGAATTCAGTATTGTTTTCCAGACGGTGAAGCGTTATTCAATGGCAAATTCTATTCAAGAGAGAAACTTAACTAAAACCCCTCTGCTTGTGTTTCTTAATCACTTTTCTCAAAGAGAGTATATTAACATCATAATATAATTATAACTACACGTCTTTAGGGGGTTGCTTCATTGATAGAGAAAAGAGATCACGATGATAGAATGAAGACAAAAGTGAGAAGCGTGGTGTCAAGAGAAAGGGAGGGAGGGAGGGATCTAAAGGGTTATTAATATACGTTGCCTCAGGGCGAATAGCGTCAGAACAAACAGCCAAAAACAGAATTAGCTTCGACTATTTGAACAAGCTATTGGCGTATATAATAAATTCTCTTTCTCTCTCACTCTTGTAGCTTGCAATATATTAAATATAGTTTTATACAAAAAAAAAAAAATAAAAATTTTTACATTATTAATCCAATTTTTAAAAAAGATTTCTTTTTTCAAAAGACATTTTTTTTAAATTTTATTAATATTATATTTAATATTTTAATAAAAATAATTTTTATAGTTTTCTTTTTTAAAAAAAGGGAGGGCGAATTTTTTATATATTAAAAATAATTACTAATTACTAATTTTATTTATGATAAAAAAAAGTTTTAAAAATAATTTTTTTTATCTATATTTAGATAGAAGAAAAAAACTGGATAAGCATATATATATGGAAAAGGGGGGTATGTAGGTTGGAGGCGGTAAGGGTAAAAAAGGGGGGAGGGTAAAGGAAGTCGAGAGGGGTGAATATCTGAATCTAAATGCGTTTCCTTAATGTGAATTTCTGACGATGTCACGTAATGATATCTGACTCCGGTTTCATGTCTATATGGTGAGGTCTACCTACCACCACCCCCACTTTTTCTTCCCCCCATGCCCTCAGCGTGTCGTCGATATCAAATCGTTTCTTTCTTTTTTCTTATTATTATTATTATTTCCCTCTCTATCCATATTTCTTTCTCTCATTTTTTTTAACTATATATGGTTATCAATTTTTTCCTACCCCCCTTTTTTTAGTAAAAGACTCATTTGCCCCCCTTTCCGAAAAACTCTATACAGTGTTTTTTTTTACTAAAATACCGAAATTTTTCAAATTTGGTTTTTTTATACCGCCCCTCCCCTTGGAAAGATTCCCGGGAAGTACCTCTTGGAGGTTCTATCAGAATTCCGCCGGAACTTCCAACGTAATTCCGACGGAATTCCAAAGAATTTCCGATGGGATTCTGACGGAATTAGGTCTCTAAAAATATTGAAAAAAATTAATCGGAATTCCGTCGGAAATTCTTTAGAACTCCGATGGAATTCCGTCGGAATTACGTTGGAAGTTCCTGCGGAATTCTGATAGAACCTCCAGGGGTCCTTTTCCGTGGAATCTTTCCAAGTTCCGTTGGAATTCCGTCGGAAATTCTTTGGAACTCCGATGGAATTCCGACGGAATTACGTTGGAAGTCCCGGCGGAATTCTGATACAACCTCCAGGGGGCACTTTCCGGGGAATCTTTCCAAGTGGGCCCCTACTTTACATAAAAATTGTCTGTCGGGGTGTGGGGGGGGGAATTATTTGCTTTAAAATGGAGGGGGTATTTGTTATTGTTTTAATATACAAATATTGATATAGGAGGAAAAATAGGGGGGGGGGGAACTATAAATATCACATTTTTGTGATAATTTTCTCGAAAATATGCGCGTGAAAAAAATATCCCGTTCCTCACGATATTTCACGAGGGAGATAAACAACAACCAAAAAGGTGGCCCCCGTGCCCAACGAGTAAAAGGGGGGTGGGGGTGGGAGGGGGGTTCTCTTGAAGACCGGTGCTGCACTGGGCGCCATGTTTGTTTTTCAGTTGTTAAACTCGCAGCGGGCCACCAGACAGGTTTAAATCAACCTTAGCCTGTCTGTTCGCCCCCCCTTCTTCTTCTCCACCCCTCTCTACTATTTCTTCCCAAACTTGATCACCTCTTCTCAATTATTTTTCTCTCCTCTTTTTTTTCTCTCTTACAAAAAAATTATTCACTTACAGAATGAGAAAATTGTCGGTACGAAGAGAAAAAGGGGGGCTGTGGGGGGCAGCTAAAAGTTCCAAGGGCAACAAATTGCTTTTTGTTTGAACGGACAAATTAGAGAGAGAGAGATACATACGTGCCGACTATCAAAAATTTTTCAATGGGAGAGGGGGCGATAGAAGGGCAGCCCCCCTCTCCAAGAAGATTCATAATTGAAAAAATTAAAGAATTGGAATTTTTTTGTAGGACTTACACCCCCCCCTCACATGTCCGTGGGGATGGGGGAATATAGGGGGATATGTGTATAATGGAATGGGGAATAAGAGAATGGGAGGTCGAAAGCCAACTGCGTGCTCAAATTATTTTTTTTTCAGTTTCAGCATCATTTAGTCTCTTTTGTACTTTTGCCAGTTAGTGAAGTATCGCTAATCGGTGTCTGTGGGTATTTCCTTCCCCCCCCCCACCTATCTTTTTTTTCTCGTAAGTAATACGAACGCGTCAAGTTTGTTTGATTTTTTTCGCACTTCTTTTTAAACACTTCGGTGAAAAAGTAGAGAATTTTTTTTTTTTTTTAGCGAATTAGCGAAATTAGAACGAATCCCCCCTCTTTCTGGATACCGTAAAGGTTGGAAAAAAATATTTTTTGTATTAAGAGAAAAAAAAATTAATTTACACTTTGGAGTCAATAAATTCACAAGTTTTATGTTTTATGTTCTTTTAACCTACATACGGAATATGACGTAAAATATCAAAAGATCAAGAGAAAAAATATTTACTATCATAGAAATGCCGAAAAATGAGATTTTTACCTTCGGTGACATTGAAAAATAATTTTTGTCTTATTGAAGTGTCAAAAATTAAAAAGTTGAAGTGTAAAAAAATTGGTTTTACCTCCAAGGAGAACGTGGACATTTACTGCGCAGCTCTAAGTGCCATAGAAAGCTATTGCGCAGCAGATGCGCAATAGATCACGAAAATTCAAAAATCGTTCTAAGGCTGCGCAGTAAGTTCTATCTGCTTCAGAGAAGCCGTGACTAAAATTCTCATTGCAGTGATAAAATACCATTTGTTTTTTGAACGCAGAACAATTTTTTTCTTTTTTTTATCACTACGAGGAATATTTTCCCACTACCTAGTGAAGTGGAGAAAAGAGTTAATAAAACAGAAGGGAAAATAGAAACAGAAAAATGAAAATAAAATAGAAAGAGAGAAAAGAATGCAGAAAGGGAGAAGACCGAAAAAATAAAAAGAGGAGTAAAAAAAGAAGAAAAATAGAAAGAGAGACGGACTGACAGACAAACAAAGAGAGGGCAACGAAAATTTCGAGTGCTTAATGTATCTGGAAACTGTCTACTCTCCCATTTGCCTCTCTTTCTCTCTCAAGTGTGGACCATACAGTAAAGAGAAAAAAAAGAAACAAAGAGAGAGAGAAAATGCGACTCACGAGAGCGAGTTTTATGATTTAATGCAACGTGCTTGGGACTGGTTTGCGCAGTGGTACCGTTGCGTTTGCGAATCCTTATATATATTTTTTGCACCCATCTCATCCTCGTGAACGCTGACCATACACAGAACTTGTATTTCTCGTGAAAACGTTCTTTTCATTTTTACCCCCCCCCCCCACTCCCTTATTCCTTTTGAAACATTCAACAAAGTCTCAATGTACCCAACCAATTATTGAGTTAGAGCATAAAAAAAAAAGTAACCATCTATTAATTAGAAGGAGAAAGAAAAAATAAGGAAGCTTCCATTATTAAATGTTTTGCAATTTATGACAACTACAAAAGAAAATAGAGATGTGGAATTTAAACGAAACAAAAGGTTGCAAATATTTTCCCGGGGCGTTTAGGATAAAAAAACACCTTTGATTTTTTTGATACATAAACCACACACTCGGTCTCTAAGACCTTCCGCACTTTTTTAAAGGGTCTTTACAGTTTTAATCGAATAAATTTGAAAAAAACGGAAAATATTTGACAAACAATCTTAAAATACCCCCGCCCCACAAAAAAATTTAATTTCTGGATTTTTAAAAAAATATTAATGACTAAAACTCTGTGTGTGGGTTCTCTCGAGAGTTGGTTGAACAAAAAAAACAAAAAAAAAAAAATTTTCACAAAAATCTATTGTTCTTTTGTATAATATCGCAATTTCGGAGAATTTATAATGCAAATATAAAGGTACTTACGCCGGGTGTGCTCGCTTGTGGTCCATAGGGGTAACGTGTCCATTCCAAGCTCTCCTCCGTCGTTGTGTCCAAGAGAACGACTGCAAGCAGAAAAATAAAAGGCACTCATGAAGATAAAAATGACTTTTAATGAGTGGTATGTGTAAAAATATCATGCGGTTAAAACTTGTCACAGCAAGAGGCCAATTTAACGACTCTCTGACCTCTCTCTCTCTCTCTCCATTCAACTTTAACAAAAAATTATTTTCTATTGTCTTCAAAAAAAAAAAAAAATAAATAAATTTTTCGATTAAAAATTATTAAAATTAAAAAAAAAACGAAACGTGAAAATTGAATTTGGCGCCAAAACCTACGCATGCGCAGTGGCGTATTTTTTATTTTGCGATTGCGCAGAAAGACTTTGGGCAATAATAAGCTGCGCAGTAAGACTCTTAGTGGTATTAAGCTGCGCAGTAATGCTATTTTTAACGTCACGCTGCGCAGTAAAATTCTAAATATTATTTTGGCTGCGCAGTAGCACTATTTTCGATATTTTGCTGCGCAGTAAAATTCTAGACATTATTAGACCCCCGCAGTAACATTATTTGTAATATTAGATTGCGCAACAATGTAGTAAACAAACTTCATAAGCAAAAAAAATGTAGTTTCGCACCAATAAAAAAGCAATTTTTTTTTGTCAACAAAATAATAATTATCTAAATGTTATTTCTGTTTTGATGATAAAAAAAAAAAAAAGAAAAAATTCATTACAAAGTGCGCCACGCGTTTCCTTTCAAAATGGCCGATTTCACGTTCTCGAGATCCGACGCACTGCACCTTTGCCAAGGGAAATTGAGCAAGGAAGAAGGAACACCATCGCCTAAAGGCAGATATAGACTACAAGAGTAAAAGAGAAAGAGAGAGGCAAGTGGAGAAAGCTAACGAGCCTTCGAGAGACCTACTCGTTTTGCATGTATGTATATGTTTAAAAAAAAAACCGATTCACACTTCTAATTAGACTTTACACTCCTAATTAACATTCAATTGAAAAAATTCGTTAAAATTTCTTTTTTTGAAAAAAGGAATTTTTTTCACTGCGGCAAGTAATCAAGAATATTGAAAAACGTACTAAAAAAAATGAAATTTATAATTTATTTTGAAAAATCCACTAAAATAACAGAAAAAAAATTATTTTTACTAAACTACGAAAAACAAATTCTAAAAAACAATATTTTTACGAAAAAAAAAATTATCTGTAATAGAGATATGTTTCTCTAGAATAGGGAAAATTTTCTCTATTTCAATGAAACGTATCGCTGTTTTAGGTAAAGTTTTTTTTCCGTGTTCAAATATTAAAATATTTATTTTTAATTGAATATAAAAATTAATTTTATTAGTAAAACTATATAGTGAGGATAATTTTATTTTATTAAAAAGAAAAACTAAAGGGGGGGGGGTAAATTTATTAATTTCTATTTTTGTTAATTTGATTTCTTTTAGATTTATGAGTCTAGACGGTAGAAGGTTTTGCTGGGACCTGTACAAGGGAGAATTGCACATGTACTTGGTGTGTACACGCAATGTAGAAAGCAGCACTATACATATATATATATATATAAACCAAGTATAGTACGTGTGTATGTGTATGTTTGGTATCGACCGGGACGCGACCACTACCCCCCACCAACCCCCTTGTGTATTTGCTACCTCAAAAACTTCATCCTATCCACCATCAGCTTACCGACCACAGAGACGCGCCCCCATTTCTCAATTACAAAAAAATAAAAAGAGACCAAAAAAAAAATGATCCTTTCTCTTTTTTTGACCTTGAAAATTCACCTACAATAACAAGAGCGGTTTTTCCACCAAAAAGGAATTTCAATTTTCTTTTACAATTTGCCTATTTTTTTTTTAAAAAAAAAATAATTTTGTTTTATGTAGGTGGAAAAACTATTTTTCTATTTAAAGTAATTTTCCACCTTGAAAAATTTTCTTTTGTCAATATTTTCACGAGTTTTCCAACTTGTGAGAAAAATTTTCCACCTTCTTTAATTTTGCTAGTATGGAAAAAACTCTAAAATTTTAAACAAATAATTCTCCATTTTGATATTTTCTTTGTGAATGTTTTAAGGAATTTTTCAACTTCTCGAGAAATTTTCCACCTTTTTATTTTTTTCTGTTGGGTGGGAAAACTCCTTTATGCTGGTGGGAAATTCTATTTTCTTTTTAATCTAATAATTTTATACCTTCTAGGTAATTTTTTAATGAATGCTTTCCCAAGTTTTTCAACTTATGAGAAAACTTTCCACCTTTTTATTTTATGTTAATGTAGTTTTTCCACCTAAAGGAAAAAAAATTTCCCTTTTCAATTTTTCTATCTTGATTTGTGAAAAACGTTATAAATGAAAAATAAGGTGGAAAAATTTTAAAAGTTTTTAAAATACCAAACGTGGAAAATTATTTTTCCTCTTTAGAAAAAATACTTTAAGGTGGAAAATAAAAAGTGGAAAAACAGAAAATAAATTTCCACTTTATTTATCTTAATGTAAAAAGTAAAAAAAAAACGAAGGTGGAAAATTTCAAATAATTTCTTTACAAATAGAAAAAAAAGGAAATTAAATTTTCCTGCATTTCTCTTAACCTTTCCTTTTTTTTTTTTTTTTTAAAAAAAACCTATTTCCTATTACTTTATTATTTCAATAATATTTCAAATCAATTTTCCCTCCAAATCTCTTCGACGATTCCGAGAATTATTGACCTCAATTCCCAGAAGCAATTTAATTAATCCGTCCTAATCAATAATTTTTTTTTCACTTTGATTTTATCAATATGACAGAAAGAGCGAGAGTGAGTGAATAAAAAAAAAGAAAAGTAAAAAGTAAAAAAATAAAATAAAAAAAGTGAGCGAGTGAGAGAGAAATTGAAAAACGTCTTAAGGGTCTAATCTCATATAGTGGACCAATTGGAGGATGTTTCCATGACATCCCAATCAAGATTAATCCGTCTGTCGTGCGAAATCTAGTTATCGAAATCCGTTTCGACATTGGCTGATTAACATGCGGTTATAGACAGCGGGGACGTTCAACATCGATTCTCTACGCCCTCCTCGTATTCCTCAAACAGACATATCGCCTCCACATACCTTGCCCCTCTTATCCTATAGGGGATGAGAGTCCATCACAGTCAAAGATTTTATATATAAATTGAGGAAATTGAAAAAAAATTATATATATATTTTTTATTTTTAATTTAAGAGGATTCGCCACTTTTTTTATGTCCTCTTAATTTAAAAGGACTATCCTTCTTAAGAATATAAAACAAAATATATTCTTCATTATACTGAGGGTTTTTACTTATTTGTCCTCTCAATTTAAAAGGACTCGCATTCCCAAAGAGTGAAAAAAATATATTCTTAATTTGAGAGGACTTTTTCTATTTTGCTAATAAATTCAGAGGAACATTATTAGACGAAAATTCTTAATTTGAGAGGATTCTTAATTTTACTATTAAATTGAGAGGAACATTATTTAGACGAAAATTCTCAATTTGAGAGGATTCTTAATTTTGCTATTAAATTGAGAGGAAATCTTTAGATGAGAAATTTTCCTCTTAAAGGAAGAATATTTTTTTTGTGTACGAAAAAAGGGTGGCGAGATGGTCTAATTTATCTTAAAAATACACTAGAGAGAGAAAAAGAAGTATAATTAGTCTTAATCTCATTAAAAGAATAATTACATAAATACCATTTTAACGTAACTGCAATTTGATACAATATATATATATATATATATATATATTTAAAAGAAAAAAAATGTTAATAATCATTAGGGCAAAAGATTCACATTGTCTGTGGTATCGCATTTCGTGCAGGTCGTTAAGATAACTGTTTTTCGTGGTCCAGCTCTCTCGCGAAAGGATTGAAGAGAAAAGAAAGACGCCTATTTTAATTGCTGCCGCCACCACTACCACTACCACACCGTTACTGCGAAATTCCAGGTCGACCGTAATATCTACGAAGAGGCTTCGTCTTCTCTCTGTGTATTATAATATTTAAAAAAAATAATGAAAAGATGATCAACCTCTTTTCCCACGAATTTTTAATTTCATTCACCAACCTCTAATTTCCCACCTTCAATTCAGATTTGTTTTCCCCTATTATTTGAAAATTAAAATATTTCTAATTAATTTAGTATTAAATAGTATACCTACAGAAGGTGGGAAATTGAAATAAAAGGTTGAAATTTTTATTTACTAAAGGTGGAAAATTAAACTATCGGAAAAAAGTGGAAATTGTCAAATAGAAGGTGGAAAATCTAACAAATGTGGGAAAACTGTGGTAAAAGGTGGAAAATTGATCAAATAAATAGTAAGGTGGCTCGAATAACAGAAGGTGGGAAATGTAATAAATATAGAAGGTGAAATATTTAAATTACAAAAGGTGGGAAAATAAAAAAAAATAGAAGATTGAAAACTATTGTAACACAAGATGGAAAAACAAATAAAAAGATGGATAATACTTAAGTAACAAAAGATGGAAAATTTATAAATGCTTTAATTTTTGATTAACAGAAGGTGGAAAATTTGGAAAATAGAAGATGGAAAACACTTTTAACAGAAGATGGCAAAAATTAACAAAAAAAAAAAGGTTGAAAACTAGTCAAAGAAAGTGGAAATATTACACACTGAATTTAAAAAAATAAACAAAGATGGAAAATTTATTTTAAAATAAAATTTTGGAAAATTGACGTTAAAAAAAAGTGGAAAATATAAAATATTCACATGTTAAAAAATATTTGTAAAAATTAAAAAATTTATGTACATATAAACTACATATATATATATATAATCCAAGTCCAACCTTTTTACTCCATAAAAAAGGAAATAAAAATAAAAAAAAAATTATAAGAATTGCAAAATACCAGGAGAAAACTATATTATTCAAAACTTGATAAGGAAAAGATGTTGCACAGGTCCCATTTTCTAACTATAGAATTAATAAAGCCAAACGTGTTTACAGAGAAGCGGAAACAAGTTAACGGACCGGTTACTCTCTCGAGAAGAAAACGACCGCAAAGTTAGCAATCCAAACCTGGTGCGTCTA